TTTTTGTTAGCCGTTGAAAGTAGTGGATGGCTACGGTTTACTTTACCCCCCCCCCAGCCGGAAGTTTTTGGCTATAACTTTTTTATTTTACATTATTATAGGCTCAAATTAAAACTCTTAGTAAGTATATTTTTTCGACACTCTATCGAATGGCGTTCAAAATCCCTGACAAAAATAAGCTGAAAATACCGAAAACTTTGAGACCTCTTCGGCTGTGGGGGGGTGCAGTCAACCTTACCTAGTGGATTCGGTCGAGGACTATTTTCTTACTTCATAAAACCCATAGAAGCGTTTCGGCGGTTTTCATGAAGCCCAGAAATATCCAAATTTTTTCCTTGGGATCCGCTATTTCTAAAACAAATAGGGAAATGTTTCTAAGCTGATTTTCAGTATTTCTAGACGCCAAAACGTTACAAAACTGTATTAAAAACACGATATATTGATTTTTTTTTTGCCCAAATTTTTGGCAAAATTTCAACATTTCCCAAGCTTTTACCTAGATTTTCACCTGAAATATCGTTAAATTTTTCCTAAAAACTATTAAAATGCGTAGATTTGCGTTTCTAGGAATTTCTGTATGCATAGCAAACCCCGCCCCCGATAATGCTAAAGAACCGAAAATTCGAGAAAGGTGAAATAACTAAATCTAAGCTAACGGTCGATCCACATTCGGGTTCGTTGCGAACCCTGAAACATGATATTTTCAAAAAACAAACATTTTCTGGCCCAAATATCGTCCTTTCTTTTTGCTTTTTTGGTCGTTTCAAATGGTGGCTAATAAAAAACTTAAATCGACTATTTTATAGTTTAGAAAAGCGTTCTACTAAATACTAAATCCACTTCTGAAATCGATATGGAAATCAGGGCTGAGTGGGAGTGGGGGGGAGTAATTAGGTAAGAACGGGACAAAGGGAAGAGGGGGAGCACTTGAAGTCTGCAAGTGCCGGAAGCGCTTTCAGGGCGGGGGAAAGGCGGGATTAAAATGCCATCAAGTATCGTAGTAAATCTAAGAAAGTTTAAAAGTATTCAAAGCAACGATCGTAACTGCCATCGGCAAGAATCCTCCATATATTTGGGAGGGGCGTCTCGGTAGAAGGGGGCTGTCAGGAGGTTGAGTCAGCCCGTGTTATCGCCCTGTATTGCCAGTAACACTCCTCCTTTCTCCCCCTCTCATCCAACCAACGCTTCCGCTCCAACCATCTGATGATAGCGGGGGGAATTTTAGGAAAAAGAACTGGCTTGAGAGGTTCTCGGACATTCCCCGGGGACAGATTTCGCCCGTATTTAAGCGCTGATAAGCGGAATGTATTGCAGAATAAGCTGGCGGAGGTCAAGGCGGAATTCGAAATGCATACGCCCCAAAAGGGACACCTCCCGGCACATGGCCTGGTCGTCGATTTTCAGCTAGCTTACCTGAGAGCCGCGATACGGGCGAAGACGTGCATACCGCCACACCGCACATGCCACACACGGTGCGCCATCGCAGCCACGATTTTCTCGAGGGACCAGCTGAAAAGGGTTATTTGTTTGAATTCATTTTACGAATTTTTTTGAAAAATTGGTTCCTACGCAATATCAGTGAGGGGGGTATCAGGACGGAACCTACCTTTTTTCTCTAGTATCTAATTTTACTAACACAAGTACCGGAAGTTTTCTAATTCTATAAAGTTTATCGTTCAGTACATTTTTCTAATCGAATTTTTCGAATCTAATGACCAAATTTTACAAAATATAAATTTGCCCCAAAAATTCGAATTTTAAAACGCTTCTAATAGTTCCATTTATACACTTAAAATATCGTTGAATTTTACCAAAAACTATTAAACTACTGAAACCCCCCCCCGATAATGCGAAAGTACCAAAAATTCACATAGTCGGAAACCAATCCCTTTGTTAGAAAATCGATTTTATAGTAATATTTTTCACTAAAAATTTATGACGTTAACGTTTTTGCTTTTGAATTCATTTCCATTGGAAAGGTGCGGAAGAGTACGTCTAGAATTCTTACAAACCTGTGGTGTGCAGGGCGGTGAATAGGAAAGAGTTACGATCAAATCGGCCGTAGCCTCAGTGTACCATCACTTTCGAGTCGCCAAGCTTCAAGTAAATTCAGTAGACTTTTACACCTATTTTGAGATTCAGCTGATCATCACCAACCTATCAATAATATTCGAGAATCGGTCGATGAGGTATGGCACTAACACCGGTCCACTAGCCGTCGCCCCGACGTCCATCGCCTCTAACGCCAACAGCGAGACCTAAAAGATGAATGTTAACGGTTTTAATTGATTCCACCTTGAAGTTGCTGCCGGCCAACCATTGAAAGATGACGTCGCAGAGATCGTTGAGCAATTTCGAGTCCGGGGGCAGTGGTTGTGTTTGAAGGGCTGCTACTAGGGTTTGCCCGAGCTCGAGGCGTTCTCTGGAAAAAAGTTAAAGTTTAATAGATCCTATAGATCCAAACGCTAAAATTTTAGATTCTTCTTTGCATCAAAAAGTTATTGTCGATAAATGCATTGAAAATTGCGACAATTTCTCTCACCTCGGATCAGAGCTGTTCCTCGAAAGCAATTCAGCCAACCAGCTCATCTCCAGGCCATTCGAAGAGGATTCTAAAGGAAAGAAAAGAAATAGGCAAACTATAAAACCTAAAAAGCGCGTCATATAAAAATTTATGGGTTGAAAACAAGCTATATATAAAGATTTAACATAAAGAAAGTTATTAAAGGGATGCCGACGGCATAGTCAATCGGTTACGCGCTGGAAAGAAAATGTCTCTGCGCCTCTCCCCAGGGCGCCCTCTCTTCCCTGTTGGCTACGTGCCAATTTGTTGATGGGGGGATCGACACATGCCGTCGGCAGCCCTTTAAAATCGCTAAAGTTTGTTGATAAAATTGTGGACGAAATTTCCTAGCGCAAAAAGCAGAGGTATGAGATTTGAAGAATTCAAGAAACGATCGACTGATGAGGGTGAAGCGGAAGTTCCTGTCTAATCCGAAACCTATTTCTAAGTGAGCCCCAGCCTAAAAGACGAAGCCCTAACCAGATAATATCCAGAAAAACTCTGCGCCGAGGTAAGGAGCCCGCAAAATGAAATTTGATCCCGGAGGGCGTGGGGCCCACGGCTGGTGTTGACTCAGAAATTTAGTAGGATTTTCGACGTCGTCAAGGGATGCGTGGGAGAGGGGGCAACACGAGAGAGAGAGAGAGAGAGAGAGAGAGAGAGAGAGAGCATTGAGGAATATTTAAAGCGAGCTGATAGTTAAATGTTAGAAAATGATAAGAGATGATCACAAGAGATGTCGGTTTTTAGGCATTATCCGGGGGGGGGGACAAATTTTTGCTATAATTCGAGAGCTTAGCCACGCAATAGTAAGTAGTAGTAGTTTTAATAGTTTTGCGTAAACTTTAAATCTACTGGAAGCGAAAAACTATCAAAAACTATCCAAAAAAATTAGAGATTTTCAAATTTTCGTCGAAAACCGGCCTATTTTGGCCGAAAAATCATTTTTTTTTGTATTTTTTGATCAAATTGCTAGTTTTCCGCATCGTAATAGTAAAGAATAATCGAGGAACATTCCTTTATTTAGATTAGAAAAACGGAATCCTGAGGAATAGTTATTACCTGCTATAAATCCAAAAACCCCTCTCGTATTGCGAAATCCACCCAAAAATCCAAAAACCTGATTGACTAAAAGGGGAGGCTGGTAAAATCAGAGATATTATTTTCAGAATAGAAAAATAATAATAAAAATAAATAAAGACTGCAAACAGCGCTCTTTTTTCGCAAAAAAACAACAAAAAAGACGCGAGAAACATCATCTTTCTCCGGCGACAATTGCATGCAGCGGGCCCCCCCCCCCAGTGGAGCGGGTGTGTTGGTTGGTGGGCCCCCTTTCTTTTGGCCATGGATCCATGAGGCCCAAGGGGCCCAAAGGGGAGGACGACCAGCAGAAACGGCAGCAGAGGAAGGGAGCAAACGAGTTACACACAGACTGATTGACAGAGAAACAGACAGAGGAAAAAGACACAGCAGAAGAGCGAGCAAATGCCCGAACACCACGGGAATGATGGGTGCGAATTGGCAGCCGCCGCCGAAAAATGGGGCCCTCCCTCCGGCCCTCAAATGAGAAATTGGCCTTGTTCCCGTTTTCGCGCTTCTTTTTTTGTTTTGAATTTCGGCGCTCGCGTGCCCCTTCGGAATTATGCGGCGAAATGGCGCGTTGAAATTCCGAGTAAGGTTGTAAAATCTCTAAAAAACAAGAGGAAATATGCTAAAAAAGATGAACTATCAAATTGCTTGCCCATCGAAATTACGCAGCAAAATTGCGCTTCGAATGCGAAAAAAACGTTGTAAAGTATCTAAAAATAGGGGCAAACCAAATTTTTTTTTCTTTATCGTCGAGGGGAACGAAGCCATTTCCAGTGATCCAAGATTTATAGCAGAACTCGCTTTTGTATTACTTTCCTCTATTCTTAAATATGCAAACGCAATCAATAATTTTTAATAGAGAACTGCAAAATATCGAAAGTCCTCGATTTTTCCGGTCCAAACGACCAATTTTGGCCAAATTTCAACATTTTTAAGCGGATCTCTATGTTTCCTCTAATAGGTTTTCCATTTAAATATGAATGAACTATAGGAAGAAAATACAGGAAAACTTTCTGTTCCCATAATGCCCATAATGCAACAGCACCGAAAACCATACTACAAATAGCAGATCGATAAAAAACATACTAGCTCGGAGTCTAGAATTTCTTTTCTGATGCTCATTGCTAGCCGAAGATACAAAACCGAGCGCTAACCCGTTTCCGCTTCGGTGCATCGAAAGAAAACAATGGGTGTCCGTTTTGCCAGGGGATAGAGCAGATAAATGGCCTATGTAGGGCATTGGGTAGAGTGGCGGGAAAAGTGGAGGGCCCAAAGAAGGGCCCACAAGGGCCCTTCCCAGCCCTTTCTAATTGAATCGATCCTAGCGGATAGTCGATGGGATTTTGGTCGAAATTCGCTGAAAAGCCTAGAAATTTGTCGGTGGTTATCGGCGCGTAATGGACTATAGACGGAAGCTAATTGGAAATTGGAAGTTGGCAAACAGCGCTTATTTCGCACGATTGCGATAGTTGGTTCTTGTGCATTAGCGGGGGGGCGGGGGAAGGAGGGAACGGGTCGCATGACTCCAAGATGGTCTAAAAACAAAAATACAGTGTTTTTATAATGTTTTTAGAATAACAAACTGCATCTGAGACAGAAACACTTGCAAAAAAAGTTTGCGCATTTTTGAAAAAAAATCGAAATTTTCGTCATTTTGGATAAAACACCGATTTTTCGACCTAAAAATAGATTTTTAATAAAATTTTGTAGAGTCTATGTACTCAGGAATAAAAAAACCTATCCGTATTCCAATTAAAACGATCCAAATTAAATAAAATCAGATAAAATTGAACAAAAAACAACGCATTGTATAACATATTTTAGAGTTTTTTGTCGTAAAGCTAGTTTTGTATATTTTGTATATTTTTAATGTATCAGCTGATACCCGTCCTTGTCGAAGTCGACGGCCCAATTCCAAAATTCCACCAACACCCAAAACGACACATTAGCCCGTGGCACCATGAGCAAAATGGCTGGCAGCTCGGCGCACGGCTCGACAGAAAATTCAATTGTTCCGGGCTGGGCCCCAAATAGCTGAAACGACTCCGAAGAGTGGGGCCAATTGGGCTCTATCCCAGTAACGTGGACCATGTAAGGAATCGTGGACCATAAATAAAATCGTGGACCATAACCGGAATCGTGGACTTTAAAAAAAATCGGGGACCTTAAAAAAAATCGTGGACCGGTAGTCAGAATCGTGGACCCTTGGTGAAAATCGGGGACCATAGATTTGGCCGTGGGGGCAAAATTTGGCGACGTTCAAAATCGTGGACCATAGAATTCCGTCCTGAGCTGAGTTATGGTCCACGATTCTGAACATCCGAAGAAAGGCTAGATTGTTCGGAAAAACTGTGTTTAGCTTCCACAGAGCGGCCATGTTTGTTTTTCACACCATTTTTTGCGGCATTTCACATTGTAGCAATGGGCTTATCACTAGTTGGGGGTTCGACCATAGATTTAGCAGAGGAATTACCTACATAATGTCGATTTACAGAATGCCGATTTTGCGTCCTTTTGCCGAGTCATTTTTCATTGCATTTTTCTTTCGACGAATCCTAGTTTTTCGTAATCGATTCCGGGGGGTTCTAACGAAGTTTCGGTGCTAATGCACTTGGGGGGGGGCAGTCCGGATTTTGACTACAAGACGCTCCAAATGCCGTTTATTAAACTCGAAGCCTCTGGAAAACATAAGCCAAGCCTAAGCCTAGGCTTAGCTTCATACAAACAAAGCCTGAGCTTAGCTTGAGCCAAGCTAAGCTTATCTTAGCTCTAAGCTTAGCCCTAAATGACCCTATTTTGACCTCCTGAGGCAATTTAAAGCTCAACATAAGCTTAGCTTGGGCTTAAGCTTAAGCCTAGGCTTAAGGTAAGGGCTCTGTACCGATATATCAGGCAATGATACACAGAACGGGTATCAACAACAGAACGGGGATTGGGAGTTAACAGAATAAGATTGCCAGCAGAATGGGGTACTACATATTCGGTCAAACGATGAGAGTCACCTGTTTATGCCTGATGATAGATTATAAAAATGACGATATAGGTGATTCGACTTTACTATGGAAATGGTAGATACCTATGGCGGTATATTTCTTTATATATGAAGGCCTTTGCGCTATCCTAAGCTGTTTGAATTAAAGCTGCTTTCACCATTTCCAATAGCAAAGTCGGAGTCCACTAATGTATCGTCTATTTTCTGCTAATCTATCATCAGCAAGATAGTAGGCGAGAGACCATAAAAATACGTATTTTCTGGAGAAAATATGCAATGCCCCCGTTCTGCTGGGCTGCCAGGTCAGGACTTGGCAAATGTCTTCTCAATCTGGTGGCAATGCCCTGTCCTGCTGGCTTTGCCCCGTTCTAAGGCCAATGCCTCCCGTTCTGCTATCACTCTGTTCTGTTTGTCATTGCCCCCGTGCTATCGGCACATTGGGCCAAGGTAAGAATAAAGTTGTTGCTGCCTAGGGCTTGAGGCCGAAAACAAAGTAACTTTAGCGGAGCGTCCCCGTAACCCTCTTACTACTAATTTTGGACTGTCTCCTAAGTGCATTAGCAACTGTAAAGTTTCTTAATCTAATTTTCTATACAGCAATCTTACAAAAATTACAACATATCTCTCCCGCAGGCAACGAAGACTGAATTTTTAATTATTATTTTATGTTCTTGCGGATTCAGAGAACTTTCTTGAAAATCCTGGATCAAAACTTCGCGACAAAAGTATCGGGGTGTGTCAATCTCCGGAAGCTAGAGGCTTTTAAAGCAAAAAAATTGAATTACCGTCCAAACCGGAGGATTCATCGGGAGGATAAACGTCCGCGCTCTGCAAACAGACGCAAAATCGGCATTATAAGAATCGGCAATATAAGAATCGGCATTATAAGAATCGACATTCTAAAGATCATAGGCATAAATCGGTATCCTGGGCAAAATCGTTATG